AGTACTCATCTGAGCAGTGGGCAGCGCCACAGTGTCTGCCTTTGGGGTGGGCTCTTCATCGTGTCATCGACGCAAAACTCTCACTACGGTCCCAGGGCAGGGCATGATCTGGAGTGGTCACTGCTGCTGTCATCACGGTGGAAACCCGGAAGCATGGCGCCTCTTCCGTTGGCTGTTACTGACCGAGTAGTTTTCTGTCACGAACTCCCAAGTAGTAATAGACTCCACTGCAGGGAGAAATAAAAGAACAAAGTTGTCACCCCCCTCTAAATAAGGAAATAGCACAGCGCAGGTCTTTGACACTGTGTCTGATGACTGGGTGCCTTCGGACGGCCTGGGCGAGGCCTCCGTGATGGGCAGAGAGGGACTGTCAGCTCAGCGGGGGACACGGTCTCAGAGTGTTCCAGGCCGAGAGAGCGGCATGAGCAGAGGGCTCTGTGCGCAGAGGAGGTCTGTTTTCTGGAATGAGCCCTGGATGTGTGAAAGAGGGCAGCCAGAAGGGTCAAGGCTCGGAAGGCCACTGCCTTCTTGGAAGGGCTTTGGATGCAGTAAGTGTCTGGGCTCTGGCCTTGGGGAAGCGCGGTCAGCCCATCCTGGTTCAAGGACTACCTCCTTGATGAGAAATCGGGCTGGGCTGGCCTGGCTGTGGTGACCCTGGTCTTCTCCTGTCTCCAGAGAGATCTTGGTAGAGGAGAGCAACGTGCAGAGAGTGGACTCGCCGGTCACAGTGAGTACCGTCTGTCCTTTCAGAGCCCACCGTGAGCTTTCAGGTGCGTGGGCATTCCCCTTAATCTTGGCGGCCGCCGAGGTCTACCCTCATCCCTGAGAGCCCCGAAGGCTGTGTGTCTACTCCCTCTCCTGTCTTCAAGGGAGCCTTGCTGTTCGAAATGGATGTTACGGGAAGGCTCTTTTGATTTGTTGGGGGGATGTGCTTGGCCTGAGCAGAAGGCCTCTTAACATGGGAGCGATTCTGCTGCACACGTTCACGTGTGTTCTCTGTTACTAGTAGCTTTCTTCTGGGTTCTTTGAGGGGAAGAGGGAGAGGAGGGGGCCAGGTCTTCCAGAAGCTGTGGGTCTGGCTAGAAAGACCTGGCTCTAGCTCTTCCCCTCCCAGAGCAGTTGGCACTCCATGTGGGATGGGGTGTGATTCCAGACCAGGCGAAGTCAGGGTAGGAGAGTAGATTTTTGGCCCTGAGAAGTCGAGACTTGGCCAGGAGTGGTGAGGAGCTCCTGAAGCTGCGGGTGTTTTAAAGGCTGGTCTCCGGGAGCAGAGCTTTCAGACTCTTGAGTTCCAACCCGCCTTTCTTCACCTCCCAGGTGTGTGGCGACATCCACGGGCAATTCTATGACCTCAAGGAGCTGTTCAGAGTAAGTGTGAGGCGACTTGGGGACAGATGACCTGGGGGCTGACTGGGAGGCCCCTCTCATTGAGAGTGGAAGCTTTGAGTTTGGCGCATGGCGGGCAGGTGAGGGGCTCTAGTTAGGTGGGCCGTCGGAATGGGGCTGCCGCTTGATTGGCAAAGAGGCCACCATGGTGTGGGACATTTTGGGACCAACCAGAATCTTCCTGCCTCTCCACCACCCCCCAGGTGGGTGGCGACGTCCCTGAGACCAACTACCTCTTCATGGGGGACTTTGTGGATCGCGGTTTCTACAGCGTCGAAACGTTCCTCCTGCTGCTGGCACTTAAGGTGGGAACCCAGGCTTCGGGTGCTCACAGCTGGGCCCTCGGGCCTGACCTGTCTCCTTTCTGCCCTGGTCTCCTGACCCATCCGCCCCGAGCTCTGAGCTGTGCTGCTGGGGTCCGGCTTGCCAGGGGGTGGGCCAATCCACTTTCCTTGCCTCGAGGGCGTGTGATGGGGCCCCTGGGGGAGAAGCAGGAGCTGCGCATTGGAGGAGAGGGAAGAGAGGACCCCTGTGTTCAGGCAGTGGCAGGGCATGGAGTTCGCCTAGGTACGGTGTCCATTGGTGGGCGAGATGACAGGGCACTGGGGGGTCTGGGTAGGGACCTGTTGGTGATAGAGGAACCAGTGAGTATGTGGTTGATGGAGTGGGGTAAGCCTCCGATCCCCCGGAGGAGGGACATGGGCCTGCGAGGTGGGTGCAGCGGAATTCCGGGCAGTGGCGGGGGTGAGGAGGACTGGGGGTGGTGGCGGTGTGTGACTGACACATGTGGAAAGCTCTGGGAGGGGTGCATGAGCTGACAAGGGAGGGATCGAGCCCAGCCCCCAGCCCCTTGTGGGTGGCTGCCCGCAGGTTCGCTATCCTGACCGGATTACCCTGATCCGGGGCAACCATGAGAGCCGCCAGATCACGCAAGTCTATGGCTTCTATGACGAGTGTCTACGCAAATACGGCTCAGTAACCGTGTGGCGCTACTGCACTGAGATCTTTGACTACCTCAGCCTGTCAGCCATCATCGATGGCAAGGTAGGCCGGCCACCAGGCCCTGCAGGGATGGGACGGCTAGGAGAGGCACAGGGAGAGGCATGGGGCTCAGCTCGCCTCTGCTCCGTTCTTGTCTCCCTGTAGATCTTTTGCGTGCACGGGGGCCTGTCCCCCTCTATCCAGACCCTGGACCAGATCCGGACAATTGACCGGAAGCAAGAGGTGCCCCATGATGGGCCCATGTGTGACCTGCTCTGGTCTGACCCCGAAGGTGAGGGCGGGCGGGCCGGCAGGCGGGCTCTCCCTTCAGTTTGGCAGGAGACTGAGGAGGTCCTGTGGTTAAAGGGATAGTTAAAGGTGACAGTGTGGGACGGACGGTCGGGCCAGGCAGTGGGGAAGAGCGAAGCGGGGCTGGGTCTTCACCAGCACCCTTGGTGCGGACGGGGAGCGTGGGCTGAGCTCGAGCTCGGAGAGGGGTTGGGCGTGTGTCTCATCGCTCAGAGGCTTGTTTGGACAAAATCATCTGCGCCCTCAGTGTGGAGGGGCTTCTGCAGAGGCTGGACTCCTGGAACACTGGCCCCATGAGGAGCCCTCATTTTGTGGGGTTCCCCGGCCCGTCTGGAGCAGAGCTGAGACTGAAAGCCGAGTCTCCCAAATCCCAGTCCAGAACTCCTTCTGTGGTCACACAGCTTCCGCTCCCTCACTGCCCTGCCCGCGTGTGCAGCCAGCCCTCCCAGGGCGGGGTGGGGTGGGGGCGGGAAAGCCCTCTTCACACCGGCTGGACCTGCATGGTCATTAACAGCACTTCCTTTTGCTTTCGGGTACACCTGTTATGGCCAGTAAATCACACGGTCACTCTGACTATGGGGTAGCTCCAACTATCTGAACATTCTGTCTCCTTAGGATCTTATCTGCTCCAGCACTTGCTGCCCTGTCCCCAGGATCCCCCAGAACACACTCAGGCCCTGGGCTCCAGCCCCAGGGGCCTGATTGGGAGAAGGGGATGGGATGTTCTCTGTTGAAGGGCGGTGGGTACTGGAGAAGCCTTGAGGACACCCTCTTCCCCCATCCCTTCCTTCCTTTGCCTCAGACACAACAGGCTGGGGCGTGAGCCCCCGTGGGGCTGGCTACCTGTTCGGCAGTGACGTGGTAGCGCAGTTCAATGCGGCCAACGACATTGACATGATCTGCCGTGCCCACCAACTGGTGATGGAAGGTTACAAGTGGCACTTCAATGAGACTGTGCTCACTGTGTGGTCGGCGCCCAACTATTGCTACCGGTGAGCCGCCCGGGGCCAGGCGGTCGGGGTGGGGGTGGGGAGCCAGGCTGAGCCACGCCGCTGATGCCACCGCCCTCCTGCTTCCAGATGTGGGAATGTGGCAGCCATCCTGGAGCTGGATGAGCATCTCCAGAAAGATTTCATCATCTTCGAGGCTGCTCCCCAGGAGACCCGGGGCATCCCTTCCAAGAAGCCCGTGGCCGATTACTTCCTGTGATCCCTCCAGCCCCCTGGCCCTCGGACCACTGTGACTCTGCCCTCTTCTCCAGACGGAGGCTGGGCATTGGGGGGCTGTCTCGGCTCTGCTCTCCCCCCGGAGAGGGCACTTCGAGGGTGAGGACTTGTCTCTGGAGAGGCTCGGAGCCTCAGCTCCATGCTCCTCTCCTTTCTCCCCACTTGAACCATGGAGTTTCCAATAATTTTCTGGTTTTCTTTTTTCCTTTTTCCTTTTTTTTTTGTTTGTTTGTTTTTAGATGAAAAATTTTGAGAGAAAACAAAGAAAAATTCTAATAAAAGGAGAAAAATGGTCTTTGGGTTTGTGTCAGACTTGATCGGTCACAAGCAGCAACGCCAGCCTGGGACCTGGGGGCACAGAGGACCTTGACTGCCCCGGAGTCTCCTGGTCTATATCTAGGGACAGTGACTGTTTCCAGAAGGCTTGCCACATGCTAGGTGGAGGTCTGGGTTCTCAGAAGCAGCCTTATTTAATTCTCAAAACAAGTGAGCATCAGGACATTCTGATTTCCCCACTTCCCTGAAAAGGAAATAGCCCCAGAGCTGTTGATTCATACGCATGAGGTCAAGCAGCTGGAAACTGGCAGGTCAAAATCAGGGCCCAGGTCTCCCCACAAAACCTTTGCTCACCCAGCCCCGCCCAGGGCTAAATAACATTAGCTGATGTTTTTAGAGCACCGAGGTCTTTGGAGTTTTATTAACAAAAATACTCTGGTCCTGACAGTGGACCGGTGTGGCTTGCACTGGGGCGAGGGGGTAGAACTTGCAGAGCCCAAGGGTGAGGCCCAGGAGGTGGGAGTGTTGGGCAGTGGCCCCATTTGGCCAGGCAGAGCCTCCCTCCATTCACACCGAGGTGAGAGCCTGGAAGGGGAAGCTGGCCCCAGCTGGACTCCCAGCAGCTTAGCCAGAGCTTTGAAGCCGGGGTGGGTGGGAGTGAAATCAAAGTGTGAAGTGGGGTGGGGGAGGCCCCAGGCAGCCATTTGGCGTGGGGGATGGGGCCAGTGGAAGGGATGGGGCCACAGGCCTGGGGGAAGGGCGGCAGAGGTCTGTGATGGAAGATGGGGTGGGGTGGGGGGAGGCAGAGGGCCCAGGGAGACCTCAGTACATTGGTTTGGAGCCCACATCCAGGTAAGCCCCAGGGCCGGGGTAGGCAATGGGGAAGGGGCCCCCCTGGAGGAAGTGTGAGGCAAAGGGTGCTGGGGGGGCAGCGGCTGGGTACCCCGAGCCCCCTGGCCCAGGCTGCAGCTCCAGGAACGCAGCTGAGTAGGGCGCTGGACGCCCCGAGTCTGGAGCCTCAGGGAAGCTGGGGTTCCTGAAGTAAAGAGACGTGTCAGAATAGGGGAAAGGGACCCCCAACCTGGAGGAGCCGAGCTCTGTGCCCTTGTCCCACTTGCCTGGTTGGAAGGTGACTGGGGGCCCCGTGAAAAGCCGCGGGGTGCAGCAGGTAGGCTTCGGCGCTGGAGCCGCCGCACGGAGGAGCTGGGGCCGGAGCAGCTTCGCGGGGGGCCGGGGCCTGCTCTGGATCTGACTCACGGACGTCCCCAACCAGCGTGGAGTCGCAGGGACCGCCTGGTGCATCTGGGCAGATGGAGAGGATAGACTGGGCTAAGGAGGACTGGCACCTGAGGACCGGCACCCATCACTACGGAGACTGCGCTCACCTCCGCTCCCATAGGCCTCTGCCGCTCCAGGCTCTGGGCCCCGCAGTTTCCTCTTCACACGGGCATCTCGCTCCCTGGAGAACAGTGACGACGACGACGACGATGATGATAATGATGATGATGGTAATAATAGCACCTGCCAGGTGCCAAGCATTTCACCAGGGACGCTTTCGGGCAGGTGCCATTATTATACCCATTTTACATACGAAGGAATCGAAGGCCAGAGAACTAAGTGACTAGAAAGTGGCAGAGTCGGGCTCAATTTCCCCCTTAAAACTTTCCAATGGTTTCCTGCTGTGTGTATTGCATTTGGGAAAAGGCTCCCCAAGCTAGAAAGCGAGGGCATGGTCTGAACCCAGCTCATCCCGCCCCGCTTGCCGAGCCACTCTTAGCTGGAGTCCTCTTCCGTCTGCCCCTGCTCACCTCCTTAGCTCATCCTTGTCTCAGCTCCCGTTCTTGTCTCACTTCCTCAGGGAAGTCCTCCCGACCTCCCATGGCATGGCACAACCTCCCTCACGACATCTGTCCACGGTCTACATTTGTAAGGGTGACCTTTTGATGGATGGCTCCCTGTCTGTACCCACCTTGAGGGCAAAGGACGACTCTGAGGGAGCTGAACTCTACTCAGAATAGAAGGCGAGTCCTAAATAAACCTCCACTATCCAACGTAACGTGGCTCCCCTTCACCTCTCTTGCCTCTTCCTCTCCAGTCGCACTGCAGGCACACTCCTCCCTCAGGGCCCTCGCACAGGCTGTTCCCGCTTCTTGGCCCGCTCTTCCTCGGATACCCACTCTAGGTCCTCCAGGACTTGACCAGGACTCTCAAAGTAATACAGACCTCACTCCGGTCCTTCCTATCTTCCTTCCTGCCTTTATTTCTTTTCTCTTTAGAACCCATCCCTGACATATTATATTTTACTTATTTCTCTCTGTTGACCTGCCTACTCTGTCCCCTAGAGGACCAGTCCCATCAGGGCAGGGCCCTTGGTTTTGTTCACGGATGGGTCTCCAGCGTCTAGAACTGTGCCTGGCACACAGCAGGTGCTAAATGGGAAGCCGCGAGGAAATAAATGTCTTTACTTACTGCTGTGTCCCTGGCACACGGTGGTCGGCTCACAAGCATTTGTTGAACGAACGAGGGAATGAATGAACAGTGCCCACCTCTTACAGTTTCTGCCGTTCTCCCGGAAGCCCTTGGCAAAGGGATTGGCGGCGATCTTCAGTTGTGTGATCTGGGGACACACATCCAGGGTCAAAGCTCCCACGGCCCAGGGCAGAGCCCACCCTTCCATCCCCTCCCCACCCCCACACACACTCCCCGAAGCGAGGTCACTCACCCGCGGGTTCTGGTAGGCTGTCACAGAGATGAATGCTGTCTCGGGGAAGCGGAAGGAGGCCACGCCCCCCCAGTGCTGGCTGCAGAGCTGGGCGGCCCGCACCAGGTGGATGCGGGGCTGGTACTTGTGCATGGAGTGCAAGATCAGCTGGGAGAGAAGGACCGAGGTGACTCCCTGCCCGCCCAGGGGGGCCCCCACACCCACCCCTCAACTTGTCCTCCCCGCCAGCTGGGGCCTCACATGGCCGTGGGGGTCCAGGGTGCTGTTGGTGAGCTTGACACGATGGAAAGACACAGGCTGCCGCATCCAGTGGGCACCCGTGGCAGGAGAGTCGGGGTGAATATAGACGCGGTCAGGCAGGCGGGGCTCCGCCTTGCCGCTGGGCTCCCAGCGCCGGCCCTGCCAGCGGTAGCGAGCCCCGTCCACTGGAACCACATCCAGAAGAAACAGGTAGCGGGCCTCGGGGTCCAGGCCAGTGACTGAGACTCGGCAAGCAGGAAACATGCGCCTGGACAGAGGAGGGGATGGGAGAGGCCTGGCGCTACCGGCTAGGGCTGGGAGGGGGCACAGCGCCGGCAGGGGACACAGCCGCCGTGGGCTCACCCAGCTTTGGCAGAGAAACGTCCACAGAGGTGGAATTAGAATTCAGACGGCAGGGTCTTGGAGCTGGAGGCTTGTCTCATCCCATTTTACACTCGGGAAACAGAACAGACAGGAGATCTGACCAGGGTCATGGGGCAGATTAGGACCAGAGCCAGGACCCCCGATTCCTGGCCCCTTCTAACTCCATCCACAGAAGCAGTGGTGACACACTTCTGTCCCTATAATCTTGCCGGGAGTCTGCTGCTCCCCACTCTGGTCTCCTCACCTAATCTCCAGTACCAGAGTCTACACTGCTGGCCAAACCTGGTTCAGGAAAAAAAAAACGTCCTGCCCGCATTGGGACGGAGGACTTAGCATGCTCAGGCCCGAGTTCCCAGACTGGAAAGACACGGGCCACACACTGGCCACATCCCTGCCTCCAGAGTGACCCAAGACCTAGTCATATACTGACCCTGATCCCGGCCAGACTTCCCTGAATGCCAGTCACTGGCTGGCCCTTGACCCTAGTGGTAGTGTCAGTGCTGGCTCTGGCCGCAGGCTGACCCCCGATTTGGGCCACTGATGACTCTATCACCCAGCCAGACTTTCTGACCCAGGCCCAGACTGACCTAGGACCCTTGCTATATAGGTTGGTCCCTAAACCAGCTACAGATTCCACAGACTGACCCTCGACCCTTGCCACCAAATGACCCCGATCCAGCCCTAGAGTAACCCTTGACCCAGGCCACACTCACACCCTGAACTTAGGCAGAGCTCTAGACCCTCTAGCAACCCCTAGACCTAGCCCCATTACCAGGAACTCTGCCTTTCCCAGGAGACCCCCCCAACCAGGCACACACTGGGCCCCTTGACCCTGGCCCAGCCCCTCACCTCCCAGCTTTGGTGATGATCATCTCTGTTCCCACAGAATTGAACTCTTTCCACAGCTCCCGGTTCTCCAGGCTCAGGCTGACTCCGGGGAGTGAATGAAGGGCCTCAGGGGCTGGGGGGGCTGGCTCAGTGCCCAGGGCTGGGGGCAGCGGGGGCAGGGGTGGGGCAGCGCCCAGGGTGCAGGGAGCAGCCTCAATCCCGGAGAGGAAGCAATCCAACTTGGGAGTGTCCAGATCTGGAGAAGGGATGGGGGGCAGAATGAGGAGCCAGCAGAGGGCCACAGCCCCCAGCAGTCCCGACACAGGAACTGGTCCCCATGCTCACCAGGGTAGCGGTAGCCCTCTGGCAGGGCAGGCGGGAAGCTGGAATCTGTCCCCGGCTGGGGGGGCCCAAGGCGGTAGCCTGTCCCCAGAGAGGGGTACAACTCTCGTGGATGGTACATGGAGTACTCCCCTCTGGCCTCAGGTCACGCTGCCTAGAGTCAGTCCCCCGGTGCTGAGAGATGCCCCCTTTATAGCTCACAGCTCAGCCCCTTCCAGACCCAGGATCACAGCCCCTCCCCTATTTGGGGCCCTGGAGTTGGGCTGGGGTGGAGACCCCTGGGGCCTGGAAGGGGTCCAAGAGGGGGCCGGATACCTGGGTACCCTCCCCTTCTCTCCCCCCACTCCAGGCTTCATTAGGTCCGACCCCCTGCCCCCTCATTACATAATTAACTCCTCGGCCTGATTGATCCCCGGGGCTCGACAGGGACGCAGTTTGGCGCTTCCGGCCAGCTGGTCCCCGTTCCCACGGGGGGAGCCCCGGCTAGGGATAAGCTACTGAGGGGCGGGGCCTCGACCCTGGGATGGAGCCTAGAGTCCTGGGGCAGACCTTGGCGCCTCAGACTTTTCTAGCAGGTACCCCCTGCCCCCTCCACTTGGAAGCCAGGGCTTGGAGGGATGAAGCATGACTGGAGGAAAAGAGCAGGGCTGGAGGAACTCGGCATGAGCTTGTTGTTACGCGGGGCACTGGGGACCTCGAGGAGTCCGCAGCCGAGGCCCGAACCCCTGGAGTCCTTCCTTCCTGTTTCCCGTTCCGCAAAACCTCCACCCTCCGCAGAAACTCCGAAGTGCAGACGCACGCACAGCTCTACAGTCTCTGACGGCTGGAGCCGGGATTTCCCAGAAGGTCCCGCTCTGGGGAACCCTCGGAACTACACTTCCCAGCAGGCCCAGCGCCGAGATTCAGAAGAGAGGAGACGGACAGATGCCGCTGGGGCCGCTGGAATGTGTAGTCGCGACGAGAGGGGCGGTGAAACTGGTGGCGCGTTCGCCTCCCAGGAGAGCTTGCCTCTAGGCGGCGGCAAAACGCTAAAACTGAGGAGGCGCTGATCAGCCGAGGTCAAGGCCTCAGTAGGCCTAGTGGGGTCGGGAACCTCCGGGGCTGTGGGATCGGTCCTGGGTCTCAGATGGCTGAGCCCCCGGAGCGCAGACTCACGGCTTTGACCGCAGTGCCTACCCCATGCCATGTGGGGCCCAGAAAAGAACAGGTCTATAGAGGCAGGAATCTGCATTTGAGTCCCCTGTTCCAGGATTCCACGTGAGCCTGGGGCTGTCTCCACTCCATTGTTTTATTATGTACAAACGCTACAGAACGAGGGGAGCAGACAGGAGTGGGGTAAGAGGGGCCCGGTGGGAGGAGTTCAAAGGGCAGACGGTGCACTGGGGCTGGGGGAGCAGCACATAGGCCATATCTATAGGGCAGGCGGGGCACGAAGGGGTTAAAAACGAGATCCAAGCCAGCCAGATCGCAGGGAGGTGCGGGGGTGTCTTCCACCTTCTGATCGCCCCCCAAGGTCACAGTGCATGCAATAAAATATATGTACAGGAGCTGGATCCTTCCTCTGCAGGGGCCCTGAGGGTCCAGAGCTCCCTTCTGGTGGAGGGAAGCCAGTGGCGCCCCCTGGCGGCCAGGCCGGGCTCGAGCCACATGCGGCAGGAGCAGGGGTCAGTCCCAGCCGTTGTCTTTGATCATGTGGTTGAGTTCAATGATGTACTTCCCCTCTTTGTACTTCTGGCTGCTCTCGAAGGCCTGTTCCTGGAAAGAGGGGAGAGGACGTCATCTCTGGAGCAAGGGCTTTACCAAAAGGGATCAGGGTTGAGGAGCAGGTATGACTGGCCCCATTTTACATATGATGAAACTGTCATGCAGAGAAGCCAAACCACCTGGCCACAAGACACAGAGCTAGTAACTGACAGAGCCAGTCTCTCACTAATGGGACAGACTGAACTTTCTGAATTACTGGTAGTTTTTAAGTACTAATGTCGGTTCCAACAGAGAGACTATGGAAGTTTTTAAAAGGTCCAGGGATTACAGACTGGTAGCTAAAGGCCAGTTTTGACCTATGCATGTGTTTTGTTTGGCCAGCAGAGTTTAGAAAAAATGACTTTGAAATACTAAAATACAGGTGGGCCGGGTTCACTCCACTTTGCCATGGACTGCCCCGTCCCTCCCCAGAGCTATGTTGCCCCTTTTGCAAACCCAAAGTATGCAAGCCTGCATACTTGCTTAGACATGCAAGCCCTTGAATTTTTGACCCCTGGATTGGGCCATCTCTTTATCTGTCAGCGGTCCAGAGAGGCTGAGACATCCGTCTGGGGGCACAGAGCAAATCTGTGGCTAGGCCAAGGGTGAACTCAGGTTAGGTGAACTGCCTCCACCTGGGACATCCACCCCACAGAGGGCCCGCAGCTCTGAGTAGTGCCTGAGGAGTCCTGGCCCTTGCCATTTCCCAAGACCGTCTTCTTCTGCTGCATCTAATCTGATCCCCATAACTATTTTGGGTGCCAGGTTGTGGCCTTTTCCTCCACTGCCAGATAAGGAAATGAAACGCAGGGTAGTGAAATTAGACCCTGGACAGCAGCTGTGGCAATGAGGGTAGTGAAAAGGAGGCTCATGGACCCAAGCTCCATGTTGCTGTGGGGTCCTGGGCAACTTCCCTGAACCTCTGAATGGCAGTGGAAGCTGGCCATCAAGTATGTGGAGTTAAAAACAAACACACCACCAGGATTCTGGTCCCTATGCTGTTCCTTACAGCTGTGTGACCTTGAGAAAGTTACTTAACATCTCTGGGCCTTCTCTGCTTCTGTAAAGTGGAGTTAACAACAGACCCTACCTACAGGATTGTTGTAATGATGGAATGAGAGAAAGTGTGCCAGGCACACACAACAGTGCATCCATAAGCCCTCAATAAATGGTCACTCGGATGATGGCCTCATCTGTAAAATGGGCATGCGTGTGTCTGTGAGGAGAGGGATGGGTGGAGAGAAAAATTCTAAAAGCCCTTGCAGGATGTGACAGAACAGAGCATGGTCAGGGGATGAAAAGACAGCCTGACTTGTGGGAGCTGGGCCTGTGGGTTCTGAAAGATTACTGTGTGACTGCTTGTGAAGAAGAGGTGATGGGAGGTTGGGTCAAGGGGAGCCTGGGGTCAGAGGTCATGGACTCACATATTTCCAGCCCAAAGTCGTCTTGCAGTTCTCGCAGTGGATGTCAGCGACAGCATGGAGGCCTGTCAGCAGCACCCGCTCCTCGGCTGGCCCGCAGCCCACGTTCACCCTGCGGGGACATGGGGGGAGTCCCAGGGAGGGTCCCGCCATCACAAAGCCCCCCCCAGCTTGTATCCAACTGTGTCTGTCCTTAGCATCCAAGAGAAGGGCGATAGCATCTTCCAACTGGAATCAGGGGACTCTAGGAGTCTCAGCATGATGCCGGGGGTCACAGGTCCCAACAGAGGTCACGGAAAGAAAGAAGGGGAACCGAATACTCACACAGAGTTGAAGAGGTAGGCACGCCCCTGACTGCCCTGGAAAGACTAAAGGGTGGGAAGGAGAAAGGAAGGGAGTCAGGGCCATTGGTGGAGAGCTGCCAGGTAGCCCTTCTAGTCTCTCATTCTAGCCCCAACGGTGACCTGGTTACCTTGGAGATGAGGTCGTCGTGGTTGGCCAGGTGAGCGCGGCAGTGGGCACAGCTATACCTCCGGTGACAATCATCCAAGTAGGCCTGAAACGTCTTGGGCTTTGAAATCCGCACCATGGCGGGGGCCGGGGGCAGTGGCCCCACGCGGGGAGCAGCCCACGGGGAGCAGAGGGAGCCCAGTGCCTGCCAGGGAGGGAGTGAGTGGGCTGTCAGGACCTGGGCCACGCACTTGCAGGCACACCCAGGGCCATGGGGATGCTCTGTCACACTTGGCTGCTGTCTCCTCTCCCCAGAGCCAGCAGCTTCTCCGGGGGCCACAGCGGGCTCAGTCTTGACTCACTGAGGAGGCCTCAAGTTGCATCATGGGGAAACTGAGGCTTGGAGGAGCCTGAGGTGAGTCACCCATCTACTTCCGGCCTCACCCCTGCTGACCTGACAGCTGAAGCTGGAGGAAGGGGCTTCAGAATGGATGAGCTGTCGGTTCTGGTTTAGGGGTAAAGTATGGAGGGGTTAGGAACTGGATGGTCCTTAGGACCTCACCTGAACTGCCAAGGGCGGGGGTAGGGTGGGGGTGACGCGGCTCCACTCGAGGTACAGGGAGTTCACCTGGGAAGAGGGTCCCTCACCTGGAGAAGGCAGAGGCCCTCACTGAAGGTGGAGGGTGTCACCTAGGAGGGGAGGGGCTCTTACCTGGGGGGGGGGGCGCTGAGGCCTTGTCAGTGTTGAGGAGCTCTTACCTGCATCGCGGAGCCTTACCTGAGACCCCGGGGCTCACCTGGGGCGCTGGGGTGGGGGACGGACGCCGGGGGAAGGGGGCAGTCCTCACTGGCGGGGCGGGGGCGCGGGGCGACGCGCAGTCCTGATGATGCGGGCCTCACCTCGCCTGGGCGCGCGGGGGCCCGATCCGCCGGGGTGGCCTGGCCTGGGAGTGGAGGGCGCTCCTGGTGGGCGCCGTCCCCCCCGGCCCGGGTTCGCAGCCGCCGCGACTTGTTTACACCGAGACCAGCTGCTGCCGCCGCTGCGGCGGGAGGGGGAGGGGGCCGGCCGCTGGTCCCGGCGGTCGCCGTGGCCAATCGGCGCGCCGCATGCAAATGAGGGGGCGCGTCACACAGCGGCCAGCGCAGGCCGGGCCTGCCCTTCCCCCTGCTCCCCGCTCCGGCCCACCCGGAAATGCGGCTGCGGCCCCTCAACCCAGCCGGTCGGCCCGGCGGGCTGGGTCCCGTGGCGCGTCCGGCCTCCCGCGGTCTTCGAAGGGGCTCGGCTCTGCGGTGCGAGACCCGACGCGGGGTTAGGAGGGGAATGGTGTTCGGACGCGCGCCCCCGGGGTAATAATATCCGTAATTATCCGCGTTTAACCACCGCCCGTGCCCCACTCTTTTAATCCCCGCAGCGATCCTATGAGGCAGCTTTCGCTATTGTTCCCATTTTCCGGGGGAGCGGAGGTCAAAGAGGTCCAGCAGCTCTCCCGAGGTATCCAGCTGGGAA